GTGACATGGAAAAGTCTGGGAAAATGTCGACTCCGCTGAAAAGAGCACCTTTCAATAAATAAAATTGCCAAGTTTAAAGGTGCCTTGTTGAAAGCTAACGAAGATATACCTCCTTAAAGTCGTAGACTATGAGTAGTCCCTCGTTGTTCCTCAGGGATAGTAAAGGGAGCGAAACGCGAGCGCTCGTGAAAATCACCCCACGCGAGAAAAGGCGATACGCGGCGTGTCGCCTTTTTTCGCGTGGGGTGATTTTCACGCGCGCTAGCGTTTCGCTCGCTTTACTATCCCTGAGGAAAAATGGGGGACTACTCGTAGTCTATAACGTCGTGAAAAATTACAGACGTATGTATGGTGGGGGCACAAACTTGCCCCCCTCATACAATCTTACAAAATATTCGCAACTTTGCGCAGCTGTATTTTTGCTCGCTTACGACGTATCACGACTTTCAAACTGGTACATATCAATAGTTGAAAAAACCGTGGAATTGTAAGCCGGAAAAAAAGAACGCGATTGTCTGGTCACGGGGTTTGAGTCCTTGGACTTTTATGACTAACATGCTTTGTACTTCTACCAGCTGCTCCAAACAATAAGAGAATGGCTACCTCTTTTTTCGTCTCTAATAGCTCCTTCTTCGTTTTTGTTAAGGCACTCTCCATAGTAAGCACTCTTTCTTCAAGTTTCTTATGTTCCTCATCAAGAATATCTAAATCATGTAGGGCATTACACATTACTGCATTATGCATTACTGTATTACAGTTAATAATTACAAAGCTCGTACAATATTAATTACTCATGGCTAAGACAGTTCACACTATACCTTGCCAGATAGCTTTTGCGCCGGCGCGAAAACCATACCCGGATAGGGCTTCTGTTCATACATAAGAACGGTGATTTAGGCGCGCAATTTCTATAACGGAGCGAAGCTGGACTTACCCTGGGTGCCAGAGGCTTTTCATGCGCGGTTTTCGGTTTCGGTCAAGTCTTAAAAAGTGACCCGCGGTTTCACCGCTCGTGTCTTCGGCCTTCGGCCGACGAAACGAAGCTCCCTGTCGCACGCGAGAAAAAACCTCTGGTACCCAGGGTAAGCTGCACTACGCCAATCTCTAAAATGGAGAGTCACATATCGGATATGTGTTCACATTATACCGGATTGCTGTCCGGAATACAGCTGGGAATAGTGTGAACATAACCTCATGATCAGTTATAAGAACGTCTAACTTTGGATAGGGGCTAAGTTGGACGAAAGGTTAGCTCAGTAACACCCTTTTTTTGACACGTTCTGCTGTACGTGGTATTAATGTTAAATTCCATCAACTTACGGGATTTCCTAGAATTAAATCAAACAAGAAAAGACTATGTTGGCAAGTTCCTAAACATTAGATTCCATGTTCGCATAATATGAACTATTCACGCTAATCAGACCATTCAAAAAAGAAAAAAAAGTTTTATGTCTGCTCTAATCGTCTGCCTGTGGCCTGGGCGGCTATTAACACCTGGGCTTAACTGCAAACCCTGCCACTTTAAAGCAACCTCTAAAAATAGGCGGATATGCGATACGTGGATACTCAGTCACTACGTATCTGCGTATCCGATCCACATATCCAGCTCTTTCAAGGATACTGCTTTGAAGTGGCGGGGTATTCTGCTGTTACTCCAACACTTAATTGTCGTGAGTGGCGAGCCACAGGGCCCTCTGCTCATCTCTTGTATTTTTTTCTTCTGGTTTATGAAGACTACCGGTAGCGCGCCACCGGACACTGATTTTAGTCAAACTCCTTGGAATTCATTCTTTGCTCCTTACCAGTACATCTATAGTTATAAACTGGCTTACCTATTTGGGACTTGTACACCTGCAACTGGGTCTCCAAATGAACGACTTTCTTCTGAAGTGATTTTTCTCTTGGGGTAAGAAAGTGTTCTNCTTTGGATAGGGGCTAAGTTGGACGAAAGGTTAGCTCAGTAACACCCTTTTTTTGACACGTTCTGCTGTACGTGGTATTAATGTTAAATTCCATCAACTTACGGGATTTCCTAGAATTAAATCAAACAAGAAAAGACTATGTTGGCAAGTTCCTAAACATTAGATTCCATGTTCGCATAATATGAACTATTCACGCTAATCAGACCATTCAAAAAAGAAAAAAAAGTTTTATGTCTGCTCTAATCGTCTGCCTGTGGCCTGGGCGGCTATTAACACCTGGGCTTAACTGCAAACCCTGCCACTTTAAAGCAACCTCTAAAAATAGGCGGATATGCGGATACGTGGATACTCAGTCACTACGTATCTGCGTATCCTATCCACGTATCCAGCTCTTTCAAGGATACTGCTTCGAAGTGGCGGGGTATTCTGTTGTTACTCCAACACTTGTCGTGAGTGGCGAGCCACAGGGCCGTCTGCTCATCTCTTGTATTTTTTTCTTCTGGTTTATCAAGACTACCGGTAGCGCGCCACCGGACACTGATTTTAGTCAAACTCCTTGGAATTCATTCTTTGCTCCTTACCAGTATATCTATAGTTATAAACTGGCTTACCTATTTGGGACTTATACACCTGCAACTGGGTCTCCAAATGAACGACTTTCTTCTGAAGTGATTTTTCTCTTGGGGAAAGAAAGTGTTCTGAGATGTTTTGGTGCCCACTCATGTTGTCAACAAACGTATCTATATCGACAAAATCCGGTAAAAGGCTTAGCATACTGAATAGACCTCCTTATCTTTAACGTTTTTTCCCAATGGCTGTCAAATTGGAGCTTACGCAACAACGAGGGTGACGGCTACGAAAACGTCACTTAATTATCACGCTTAATGCATCTCGTTTAATTCGTGACATGTTAGCAAATCTTGTGGTGTTGAATACTAAAAGACTGTATCGAAGTTGAGGAAAAGAAAAAGAAAATCGTTGTCTTGTGCCTCCTCTCCCCCCCCCCCCCCCCCCCCCCCCCC